ATCTATTTTCATACTTTTCTTCAGCAATCAGTAAAACATTGGCCTATACAGGCAGTAAAGGAGGAGAAAAGGCTAAAACAGGCCTCCCTACACCTTGGACTTTTTTTCTCCTTTCTCTCAAGTAATATAAGGCTATTCTTTGGGTATGATTTTCATGTCTGTCTGGAACATAAATGTCAAATTGAGTTTGGAAGCATAGAGAAATCAAGCTAATAAAACGCCTAAGTGACATAGTACAATTCAGTGCAACATTTCCACATTGTAGCTTCTGCCCTAAAATTAACCTTGAGCTTTGCACAGAGTAGAAAATACATGTAAATTTTATAAATGCATTTTTAAAAATCTCAATATGATTATATCATATTGTTCTATTAAGAAAACCAAGGAATACCCTAGAAAAGGAGTATCCTTTTAGTACCCACCCCAGAAAAAAAGGTAATGGAGATGAGGAAGAACTTGAGTGAAAGGCTTACTGATTTCATGCATCTGATTTTGACTCATATGAGTCTCCTTGGAACATATGACATCTTTAAAAATTACTTAGTCCACATTATCTTCATCATTACAATCACTTACATTTTATATATGTTTTCACTGTTACCAAGAGGAAATTACTGGTCATGAAGGTAAACCCTTCAGAGAAATTTAACAATTTTACATCTCTAATGTTGGAAGTACTTAAAATTTAGTTGAGATAACTTACTGTATACAAAAGGAAAGCAATACAAATACTCTTCTAAGAGTAACTATAATAAAGACTGTAGGTTTGAAATAATGATATGGGACTAAGAACATGAACCCTCTCTGTAGATGCACAGGATTTAAATTCTGGCTCTACCAGTCATCATCTGTGTGACTCTGGGCAAGTTACTTAAGTTCTATAAGCCCCAACCAGCTTGGTAATACAATTATTAAAATCTCTTTTAAATTGTACCTTCCTGACGTGGTTGTTAAGAGGTGTTAGCATGTCTAATACCTAATAACTTCTCAATAAGTGTTCATGATTGATAATTAAGTGTAATGGCATTTCTCTGGGCAGTCTTAGAGAATGTGTTCTAACTTGAGCTTTGTGTAGAAATTAAAGTCACTAATTGATAAAGCAGTGATGGATGTTGATAGTGAAAGAATGTAGAAAAGGGCTGAAATTTTAAAGATGTACATGAGAAATAGAGAATGGTCTAGCCAGAGCAGAGCACAATTCAAGGGAAGAATGTGATGTAAACACATCCGTAGTTTATTCTTGTGGCATTTCCATATTCTCCATGACTTCTCCAAATAAGTAATGTGTATTCTGTGTTCTTGTCTGTAAAATCATTGCTATCTTGAAATGTAATTCATTGAATAGAACACTCTAAAGTTGCTGGATACTGTGTTGCACTTGTTGAAGTCAGAATAAAAATATACAGATGAATCTTTAACATTTTATTTGGGAAGCAAGACTGCAATTTGAGATACACAGACCAAGTGGTCTTTGTTACATCTGAAGAACAAAGAGGAGGTTGGGAGTTTTATTAGAAAGAGAAATCTTACGTATTGTTTTAAAAGAAAGCTCACTGGCACTAGAGAATTTCTTGGGAGCTGGCAAGATCTGATTGGTGAATGATGGTGGTAGGTGAAACCAGTTTTAGAGTCATGGCAAGTCATTTCAGCAGCTGCTACAGAAAACCCGTCTTAGGGTTGCAGCAGGCCGTTTCAGCACCAGGGGTTGTGGAAATGTTTTATTTTATTTATTTATTTATTTATTTTTTGAGACAGAGTCTCGTTCTGTCGCCCAGGCTGGAGTGCAGTGGCCGGATCTCAGCTCACTGCAAGCTCCGCCTCCCAGGTTTACGCCATTCTCCTGCCTCAGTCTCCCGAGTAGCTGGGACTATAGGCCCTCGCCACCTCGCCCGGCTAGTTTTTTTTTTTTTTTTTTTTAGTATTTTTTAGTAGAGACGGGGTTTCACCGTGTTAGCCAGGATGGTCTCGATCTCCTGACCTCGTGATCCGCCCGTCTCGCTAATTCTTGGATCAGTTGCCCTGTGCCGTGAGTGCTTCCCCCCACCGCCCCTCAACCCTAATTTAGTTGGCTACCACAAGAATGACCCAATTTGTATAATCAACTTTCACAAACCTTTCTCACATAATGGACCTTTAATGGCTGCTATCTTTCTTCTGTCCTTTTCAGTTTGAAAATCATTCTCCTAGCTAGAGAAGACTAAAGCAAGATAGGAGTTGAGTTTCTCTCGCTTTTTTTTTTTAAATCTATTATTATTAGTTTTTTTTTCCACGAGCGTTTTTTTTTTCCTTGTTTTTCTTCCTCTAGAGAAAGATTTTAAAAGACCCTCCCTGATATTTTTCATAGGCCGTGAGCATTCCGGATTATAGTCATCACACCAGCATTCACACAGGCTCGGGTAACTTTCTCATTGACCTTGACTCCCTGCTCCTTCCATTTCAGTCCTTCCCATTTTAAAAGCTCTTTTTGTTGTCATATTGGGAAATTATTAGCATTTTGAGACCAAATGCAGATGCTCAAAGGGAATGGACTACATAACTCTTGAGAATTTGTACCTAAGGATCCAGGAAATGGTGTCATTACTAAGGGCGTTAGAGGTGGAAAATGACATTGGTTTGGAGGAGAAACAATTAGTTTCAGCTTCAGAAGGATAATTGGAGGTGACCTGTCAGGCAGTTGGAAGGTAGAACTAGAGAAAAAGGTGAGAAACCGTAACTTGGTAAGATTTAGCAGTCATGTGACCTTGATTATTTAACCACAAACATAGATAAGATACTGGGGGCACAAAGCTGAGAAACGCAAAGAGTGACCACTGGGAGATAACTATGGTGAAAAAAGTCAGGAGGGAGCTGCAGAGCTAATAAAACAGATCCTTCAGAAAAGGAGGAGTGTGTCTCACACATTAGGTCAAGACCAGCACACCAAAAGTAGTTCTAAGAGCATTTTGTAATTAAACTTGACATCACTGATGTGTCAACTCTCTGTGGCATTCACGTTGACATCCCCCCAAGCCACATCTGTAAATCCAGAGTAGTATCAACTATAGACATAAGTGTAGGAATGAGCACATTTCTTCTTTCCTCTACTTGGGTTCCTTAGTTTGTGACTGTTTAGCACAGAGTCAGCCACAATGGAGAGTTCAAAACTGAACTCCAAGCAGCTCCAACATAGTGTTCAGCTGAATTTCCTAAGATTCTCTGTATCCCTAAAGGTCTGGAAAGGTAAGACAATGTGGTATAGAACAGGAGTGCCACACCAGCAAGTGGCAGGCTAGAGGAAGTCTTACCTCTGCCTCCGGTTAAAGTGTAACCTGAACAAATCACTTAACCCCTTTCTTTGGGTGAATCTCATTCATAAAATGAAGAAACTAGATTTGTAAGGGCCTTTCACTCCAAGATAATCATATTATTTTAATACTAAGACTTACCCTCTGCCTCTGTTTTTTGTTTTTTGTTTTTTTTTTTCTGAAGGGTAGCACACTATTTGGGGGAGTTTAAAAAGTCATCGTAGCTGGACGCGGTGGCTCACGCCTGTAATCCCAGCACTTTGGGAGGCTGAGGCAGGCGGATCATGAGGTCAGGAGATCGAGACCATCCTGGCTGACACGGTGAAACCCTGTCTCTACTAAAAATACAAAAAATTAGCCGGACGTGGTGGCGGGCGCCTGTAGTCCCAGCTACTCAGGAGGCTGAGGCAGGAGAATGGAGTGAACCCAGGAGGCGGAGCTTGCAATGAGCCAAGATTGCACCACTGCACTCCAGCCTGGGAGACAGAGCAAGACTCCCTCTCAAAAAAAAAAAAAAAAAAAAGATTGTCATCTTCCTTTGCTTTAGAAAAGGGTCCTGCCTTTGTGGGCCCTGGATTAGGGAGTTTTAGGGGTAGGGAGTGAATCTTGCCCAAAATTTTAGTATTTACCTTTTAAAATCAGGCTGCCTCATTTCTGAATAAACTGAACGTATTGTCTAACTTAGAAAATTGGTTAGGAAATTTTTATTTTTTATAACCTCTACAGAATTATATTTTAAGAAGCTTTGAGATTTCGATAGGTAAGGTGCTAGATATCAGCATTTAACCAGCAAATTCTGATTCTGCCACCTAATAGATGTCAACTCAACTTTGTAAATTCCAAGAAAAAAGAAAATTTAGTGCCACTAATAATGGAGTAGCTTAAATCACTGATTCAAATGATATTGCAACTCTGGCATCCAGGCTTCTAATGGGAAAGATGCCTTTCATAGGCTTTTCAGCAGTGCTTTTATGTAGCAGACATTAAATGAAAGGAAGACAATGGTAACTGAATTTATGCTTTCATATACTTAATTAAACTGAAGCTAGGCAATCAGTATAACCAGAATCTAAACATCTGATTCTTGCAGATGAAGCCATTGGGCAACCAGTTAGTATCCAGAGGAAAGAAATGTTGGTCTTGTATTGGTTTTAGATTAGTAAATATAGTAGTGGCCACTTGCTTCTCTAGAAGAGTCTTGGTTAGGAGGTGCAGGAAAAGATTAAGGTTTTAAAAACATCTCTACCAAATTAGAAAAGTAATATTACAAGGACATAGGCCTTCAGGCTTTCATATGAGACACCAGATTTCAAAGAAAAGAAAGATGTAATTGAGATCTGACTAGGGTATTCTACAAATTTTTTATTTGATCCAGTTTTCTAAGACATGTTAGAAGAAAAACTAACATGGCACATATTTTCCCTCTGTTCCCCCAAATGAAGATAACAACTAACCAGGCTGATTATCGCACTAAAATCCTACCATCTTTTATACCTCCTTGCTGCTTACATCGTTGCATGTAAATTCCTCTATTCCGTTGTGCTGAGCATGAGCATGAATTTTATGTAGCAAGACTGAAATATTCTCCACAACAAACTTTTGTTCATGCTTTTAGATGTAACATTTTTGCACAGGGCTCTGTTGCATTTTTTACAGAATCCATTTTCCAATTAATAAATAACATTATATTAAGAGAGTCTTCTTTTTACCAATTAGGTCAAAGTCCTAAAATTTTAAGACTCAAACCCCATGGTTTAGAGCGAACTGATTCACAAACCATAGGTGACTTTGCTACAAGAAGAAAGGGTATGTACTTTAGCACCGCATGTGGTATGGGGCATTGGGAATTTATTTTGTAATGTTTTTTTTTTTTTCTAAAAGAAGAACCTTAAATACTATTGCTGTTGTAAATAAAACTTTCCAGCACATTATTTCTGAAGTGAATGCTTCCCATGTATGCCATTAACAACAGCATGTTAAATATTTGATAATATGTGATATTCAGACTTGTCCTTTTGCATCATTCTTTTAACTTTTTAGACAACATTTTATCCTTTAAATTTGTGAACTGTTTGTGATTTTCTGTTGTCTTCTGTCTTTATGTATATGTATTCTGTTCTGACACAGAAGAATCATTTCCATGGATTAATTGTGCCATTATTTAAAATCTAACAGCTAAACTGCTATTAGCCTTTGGGTGTCAAAAAGTAAAACATTAACAGTTAAAGAAATACTTTCAGTCAGCGGAATATTCTGTATCTGTCTATTTTGAGAATATAGACAAGCAAAATGGTTTTAGCTAAAATTTAATAAGTTAATTTGGTCTTCATTATATGTGAGTTGACAAAATACTTATGAGCCTCAATGTGTATGGTCCTTTAAAATGACCATTCATTTTATAGTGTAATGGTAATTATGCCATAATTGATTAAAATTGAACATACATGGGCAAAGACTATAAATAAATCTGGAAAGATGAAATTTTTTGTTAAGAGTGGCAGAATGAAACATAACTGAAATATTTACCTAATATGTTTAGGTGGTCTCCTAAAATATCTAGTATTAAATAGTATTGTTTTAGTTCTTTTGCTCACTCCATAAATTTCTGAAAAACTCTCAGTTTTGACTTTAAGAAAATGGCTAAGAACTCTGGTATATACTGGTTTAATTGTCTACTGCAATGTGAGGTAAATAAAGATCACTTATAAATGAAAATTATTATTAGCATTTACTTAATTGTATATAATTTAGCAAGAGATTTGTTGGTTAAATTACACTAACAATTTGAAGTAAAATAATTGTGGCCTTTTTTCAGAGTAGAGTTTGGATCTAAAGATATAAATATTGTTTCGTTTTGTTTGTTTCCAGACTGGGCATGAATTATTTTAAAAGATTCGAACATTTTTTTGGTTTGGGGTTTTAACAAAGTTTTGTTTTTAATAGTTTCTATGCATCATTTTATATATATAGTTTATACATCATTATATATATATTATATATAATACTTCAGTATTGAAGAATAGGAATAATTTTACGTAGATGATTAAATTTCCTTATTGAGTATGAAATTGGTGAAATAATTTATCAAATAATGAAACGTATAAAGCAACCATAGAGAAACTGGGTCACATTACTCTTTCCTCATCTCATTTAGTTTATATTCATAAAACATGTACTTAGGCAACATGTTGTAATAGAGGTTTAGGCTTTGAGGTAACAATCATGAAACATTTGATTTAGCTTTTACCACTAATGACTTAGCTATGTAACCTTGGGCAAATCATGTAACATTCATGAACCTCATTTCATATGTGAAACTAGGTGGTCTAAGGTTTGCTCTATCAAATATAGAGTTACAGAGAGAGAATCTTGTTTGTTTTCCAAAGTTCTGTACATTAAAAATCTCTTTTTCTCTCTTTTTTTTTTTTTTTTTTTCAGTCAAGCCAGCACCTTTAGAAATAAAACCTTTGCCAGAATGGGAAGAATTACAAGCCCCAGTTAGATCTCCCATCACTAGGAGTTTTGCTCGAGAGTAAGTCCTTTGTCTAAAATATGTAGTTTGTATGAATAATGTGACTATCTAGAATTGTTCATTATCCTGGAAAATATCTAGAATAGTGGTTCTCAATGGATGATCTGAAGGAGCCCCCTTTTTAGGGATTCTGTGAAGTCAAAACCATTTTCATTAATATATTAAGATGTTATTTGCTGTATTTATTCTCCTACTGAGTGTACAGTGGAGTTTTCCAGAGGTTACATGATAAGTGATGATGTCATTGTGACACCCAATAGAATGTGTGTATTTGTGTACTACTTGTGTTTTAAAAATATGTCTATTCTCATTTCTAATACAGCAAAATGAATAGGTACAACTCATATAGACAAAAATTTCTTGGGATTCTCAATAATTTTTAAGAGTATAAAAGGTTTATGAAACCAAATATTTCTGAGGATTACTAATCTTGAAAATGTGGTCATCTCTTGTGGAGATTATTTAACCGAGACTTACTTAAATGTATACAGGGAAATGAGAGGAATTTATGAAGTTACAAACCTACGTTGAACATATGTTCATGTTTTACGTGTGTGTGTATATATATTATATTATGTATATTATAAATTATATTATATATAGTTTTTTTAAAAATAGAAATTATTGTCTTCCATTTTATATCTGTAACTTTCTACTTATCACCAAGTCACTGGTAGTGGGTTTTTTTTTGGGGGGGGGGCTTGTTTTACACAAAATATTTTGCTGTCCAAAATACACTTTTATAATACAGTTATAAATATTAGTTATGTGTTTGTGCACAAAAATTATGTCATTATAAATTTGTACAATGTATGATTGTAAACATAAGGGAATATTTCTGAAAGAATGCAGACTATCATTTTTATTTGGGGAACAATTTTAGGTATTGTTGTCAAGGCTTATGTTTGTTATAACATGTTTCTGTAATTAGCTCTTCTAGGTTTCCCATGTCCCCCCGACCAGATTCAGTGCATAGCACAACTTCAAGCAGTGACTCACATGACAGTGAAGAGAATTATGTTCCCATGAACCCAAACCTGTCCAGTGAAGACCCAGTATGTAAAGTTTTAACTTCTCCTTTTCTGAGCAGCCCTTTTCAGTCATTCAAGCTAGAACTGTTCTGTCTATAAATTTTATCATCATATCTTTACATACTTAAGAAAAAGCAATAAAAGACAACTTTTTAAAAGCTTAAAAATAATGTCATAAACTCTAAAAACAATAAAGGGTGAAAGTAAACTGTAAATGAGTTTAAAAAAAAAAAAAAAGTTGCCTGGCACAGCAGCACAACCCTGTAGTTTCAGCTGTTTGGGAGGCTGAGGTGGGAGGATCACTTGAGTCCTTGAGTCCAGCGGTTTGAGGCTAGCCTGGGCAACATGTCACCCCATGTCTAATTAGAAAAAAAATAAAGTTTTCAGTTATATGTCATTTAAGAGATACTTGATTTTTGATACTCTTCAAGAAAATACACTGGTAGCATTTTACAATACAGTTCTCTAAGGCCATGTCACAGCACTCTAATAGTGAAATGGTCTTATAAATAAGTAATATACCCTTAGATAGGTGTAAAGATTAAAGAAGACCTCTTATAAACGTAACATGTTTCAGGTTGGCTATACTATCATAAAGCATGAGAATTTTCTAATGGTAGTGAGCATTTTGTTCCTCAGATATCAGGTAGTTGCCAGAAAATACTTCAAATGTTGAAGAATACAACCCCCCTGAAACTAAAATAAAAATTGCAATACAAAAGAATAAAAATTTTAAAAAGTGCATGTTAATTTTTAATCACAAACAGAAAAACGTAAATAAGCATAGTTTATATAATAAGCTGCATGTTTAGTGGCTTCTTTATCACTTCTTCTTGTATCTCAGGCCTTCCTTAGGTAATAATTTTCCTTCTCTCTTAAATATGTTCTTTAAAATGTATGCCTTTCAGGAAGGAAAAGATCAGGCTAAGGAAATTAAGTGGTAAAAAATCCAGATGATTGAAACAAAATAGACTTAGCCAATGGAGTCAAACAAATTTTAGTGTGAAAGCCTTTAAATAAAATGCAGAAAGTTTTTTAAAAATTTAATTTGAAAGCAAGGAATATAAAGATCCTGTAAACACATAATTGAGTACAGATACAATTTTAATAATGTTCAAGTTGGGTTATCATAGCGAACTACCTCTTGATGTCTCAATCTTAGTGTGAACCAAGTTTAACTTTTAAAACTACGTTTAGCTTGCTCTAAGCTAGGCTTTAATCAGTTTTTTAAATATTACTTATTTTCTTTCTATCCTAAAAGGTTGTTTAACTTTTTAAGCTATGTCCTTTTGAAAGCAAAGATTTAGGCTTCCGTAGATGTCCAACAGTATGAGTGGTAGGTCTCATGAATGTCTGACCGTTGATTTTGTTGTCTAATACTTTCAGAATCTCTTTGGCAGTAACAGTCTTGATGGAGGAAGCAGCCCTATGATCAAGCCCAAAGGAGACAAACAGGTGGAATACCTAGATCTCGACTTGGATTCTGGGAAATCCACACCACCACGTAAGGTAAGTGACATGTGACATGCCTCTTCTGTGTATACAGTTCACACATCAAACCTGAAGAATTATCTCCTTTGGGATAATTTTATTAAGTTATGTTTAATATAAATTTAGTCTGGTCTGCTACTTGATGCTGTCTCATAAACCACAAATAACATAGTTATGGAGAGTGATTTTTTTTTCCTTTCTGACGGTTAGAAATTTTATACTTTCTACTCTTTTAGTGGTTACTATTGAAATAGTTATTTAACAAATTCGTTTTTGTTTTTTTTTTTGTTTTTTTTCTGAGACAGAGTCTTGCTCTGTTGCCTAGGCTGGAGTGCAGTAGCGTGATCTTGGCTCACTGCAACCTCCGCTTCGCAGGTCCAAATGATTCTTCTGCCTCAGCCTCCCAAATAGCTGGGATTACAGATGTGCACCACCACTCCTGGCTAATTTTTGTATTTTTAGTAGAGACAGCGGTTTCACCATGTTGGTCAGGATGGTCTCGAACTCCTGACCTCAAGTGATCCACCCACCTCAGCCCTCCAAAGTGCTGGGATTACAGGCGGAAGCCACTGCGTCCAGCCATTATTTAATGAATTCTAACGTTAAGCGTTAGTGTCTTTACTCTCCTTAAAATGTTCAAATTATGTGCTATTTTTGCCCAAAATTTTAATGTTATCTTTTTTGTTAAACCCACAAATTAGATAGTATTATTACTGCTCTTATTATATAACAATGTTTATTTACATTTTCCTACATGTTTACCAGCTTATCATTCCTTCCTATTTCTCAGACTTTCCTTCTGCAATAATTTTCCCTCCACCTGAAAGGAAGGTGAAAGGACACTTCTAGGGAAATATTGACACTATTCCCTCATTTCGTAGCAAGGCTGCTAATAGCTGGTATGGAACCTTTTTGCAAATTATTAAAAGGTGCTTCTTGCACTGTGGTGACAGAGCTCTGTGCTGTGGGCGAGTGCAGCGTGGTGAGCAGCACATAGCCTCCCTTTAGAAGTGCCTTTAGTGGAGGTCTGTTGGTTATAATTTTTTTCAGTTTTTGTATAACTTAAATGTCTTTATTTTGCCTTCACTCTTGGAAACACAGTTTTCTTGAGTTTACAGTTCTTAATCAACAATAATTTTCCCTCAGCCCATGGAAGATACTGTCCCACTACTGTCTTGCTTCTATTCCTATGGAAAAATTGCTGTCAGTCTAATTGTAATTCCCTTGTGTCTTTTCTGACTGGATGATTTTAAGGTCATTTCTATATCTTTGGTATTCTACAGGTTCACTACAATATGTCTAGACATAGATTCCTTTTTATTTATCTTGCTTAGAAGTGCTCCCTTCTTTTTGGATTCATATTTTTTATCATTTCTGGGAAAGTCTCAGTCACTATTCAAATATTGCTTTTCTATTTCTAAAATGAAGTTCGGTTTGGGTCTTTTTCAAATATGTCTGGCCAATTTAATAGCTCCTCTTTCAATATCTGAAGTCCTTGGAGGTCTGAATCTGTGTATATTGTTTCTCCTCACACTCTCTACAGCTTGTTTGTGCGTTTTATGTATTTTCATTGCAAACTCATTTTGTTGAACATATCTTCTGAGGACCTAAATTTCCTCCATAAACTATTTGTATTTGCTTCTGCTAGGGACCAGGAGGTGCTACCACCCTAGGACTACATCAGTTCCCTTCAGGGGTCCCTAGCTTGATGGGATAGTCTCAGTTTCAGCATCACCTCCAATCCTGATTGCATTTTTGAGACTGACATTCATCCTAAAGTCAACACCACGTTTACCATTTAGAAGCTCACCACTCCCTCTACTTCTCTTATACCGTAGACATTTCACTTTCTAGTGAGTGCAGCAGTGCACTGATAATTCTATTTAAGTATCTATATCTTGTTGAATTTTAGGAATAAGAAGGCACCAGCTTATGTAGTTTGTCATTCTTGAAGTATAACTTTTCAAAAAACATTCCTTGTTAGCTCTCAAAGTAAATACTGATTCATGTTCTCAGAACTTGAAAGTCAAGCTTAAGTCGACAGGAGAATCAAGCTGTCTATGTTAAGAAATGGCATCTGCTGTCCCTATTTTATATGAATTTCATCTGTCATGGAAGCATTAGTTTGAATTCTTTTTTTTTTTTTGAGACAGAGTTTTGCCCTGTTGCCCAGGCTGCAGTGCAATGGCACGATCTCAGCTCACTGCAACCTCTGCCACCCGGGTTCAAGAGATTCTCCTGCCTCAGCCTCCCAAGTAGCTGGGATTACAGGCACGTGCCACCGTGCCAGGCTAATTTTTGTATTTTTAGTAGAGATGGGATTTCAGCCTCTTGGCCAGGCTGGTCTTGAACTCCTGACCTCGTGATCCAACCATCTCGCCTTCCCAAAGTGCTGGGATTACAGGCGTGAGCCACTGCACCCGGCCTAGTTTGAATTCTTAAATATAATAATTTTAAATTTAAGGCAAAAATAGTATATAGTTAGGAGAGAGACATTTTTAAGGTGAAGTAGTTGATGTTATTTTTTGTGTATGACCCAGAAGAATTTTAAGAGTATTCATGGCCAGGCACGGTGGCTCACGCCTGTAATCCCAGCACTTTGGGAGGCCGAGGCAGGCGGATCATGAGGTCAGGAGTTTGAGACCAGCCTGACCAATATGGTGAAACCCTGTCTCTACTAAAAATGCAAAATTAGCCGGGCATGGTGGCACATGCCTGTAATCCCAGCTACTCAGGAGGCTGAGACAGGAGAATTGCTTGAACCCAGGAGGCGGAGGTTGCAGTGAGCTGAGATCGCGCCATTGCACTCCAGCCTGGGCAACAAGATCAAAACTCCTTCTCCAAAAAAAAAAAAAAAAAAGTATTCACAGTGCATGGGTGTTTGTGTTTTAAGCTGAGTTGTACTCAGAAACACTCCTTTATATGTTGGACTTTTTGTTTTTTCTTTCTGTTTTAGCAAAAGAGCAGTGGCTCAGGCAGCAGTGTAGCAGATGAGAGGGTGGATTATGTTGTTGTTGACCAACAGAAGACCTTGGCCCTAAAGAGTACCCGGGAAGCCTGGACAGATGGGAGACAGTCCACAGAATCAGAAACGCCAACAAAGAGTGTGAAATGAAAATATTGCCTTGCCATTTCTGAACAAAAGAAAACTGAATTGTAAAGATAAATCCCTTTTGAAGAATGACTTGACACTTCTACTGTAGGTAGATCCTCAAATGAATAGAGTTGAAGTCAAAGGACCTTTCTGACATAATCAAGCAATTTAGACTTAAGTGGTGCTTTGTGGTATCTGAACAATTCATAACATGTAAATAATGTGGGAAAATAGTATTGTTTAGCTCCCAGAGAAACGTTTGTTCCATAGTTAACACACTCGTAGTATTACTGTATTTATGCACTTTTTCATCTAAAACATGGTTTCAGGTATTCCCAGTGTACCTTACCATAATTCCTTTGGGAGTTCTTGTTTGTTGTCACACTACTTTATATAACAATACTAAGTCAACTAAGCTACTTTTAGATTTGGAAATTGCTGTTTAAACTACAGTCTAACAACATTAAAATGAGAGGTAGATTCACAAGTTAACTTTCTAACTGAAGCTTCAGGTGATAACCATTAGCTTATACTTGGACTCATCATTTGTTGCCTTCAAAAATGCTGAGGATAATATATGTACTGGTGTCAGGACCTAGTTCTCTGGTTAATGTATGTTTAGTTTTTAATGGTGGAACTTTGTTATATTTTGTTAATTACAGTGTTTTTGGTTCATTGAGTGAAGATTCCGCCGGGTGGGATCTTGCACCTTTGAAAGACTGAATATTACACTACCAAGGAAGCCTGCAAATCATTGATGGCATGCAGTGATGATGTGCTCTTACACTTGTTAACATGTATTAAGTGTTATTTGCAAAAGGTAGATTATGTAACTAATCAGGTACGTACCAGGCAGTGATGTGCTAATACACTGATCAGGTTTAGACAATGAGCTTTGGTTGTGTTCTTGTTAGTCCTAATATTGGTTTTCAGTTTGGAATTAATAAAGCAGTTGACATTCACTGTTAGTTACAGCAACATACTGTGATTTTTAATTAGATAGTAATTCAGATTTATTACTTTATGAAATTCTGTCTTGACACCATAGTGCCCTTTCTATGATTTTTTTACTTAATATTCTTCTTGGCCTTATATTTAAATCCCTATGCAATTAATATTTTATATCTGCATTTTTTTAAAAAAAATAGATGTTATATAAGTGATTCTTATATGTAGCACCGGTTGCTTTTCCACTAAAAGAATTATAGATTTTGTACTGTGATTTATATTCACTGCCCAATTCAAGAAATATTGGAGCCTTGCTACAATGTGAAATGTTAGCCATGGACTCCTTCCAACCAGATTTCTGAAACCACCAGAGGGATGGTATAATTCTGTCTCACCTATAACATGGTCCTGTGACATAGATATTAAGACCACAAGTTATAGTGAGGCTACAATTATATTCATGTGTCTTGGCTTTCCAACATAATTTAGAAAGCACATATAGTTGTTTTTTAACCAAGTTACATACAATCTCATGTACTGATTTGAGACTTACAACAATTTTTGGAGGGGGCATAGAGAAAGGAGTGCCCACAGTTGAGGCATGATTTCCTCCATTCAGACCTCTAACTGTTGCCTGAGTACACATATGTGCCCTGATTTCTGGCCCATTGGCCATAGTACTGTGCCTAATCACTGTAATAGGTTTATTTTCCCAATCCACAAACTAAAAATGTTCATAACAAGATGAATTGTAGACTAGTAACATTTGATGTTAAAACATTTGATGTTAAAACATCAAATGTTATATTTGCTTTAACATTAATTTTTTAAACATTTGCTTCTTTTTAAACAAAAACTAAAACCCAGAAGTGAATTTTTAGGGGGATTTTTAAATAAACAAGATTGATTGAGTTTGGTGTGCAAGCTGTTTTATAATGAAACCACAAAATAAAATCTAAAATCACTGAAATGTGCCTAAACTATCAAAACACATGATACAGCTAATGTGTAAAGATACTAAATTCTGTTACTTGGAGGATGAATATATTTAAGACTTAAAACACAATAATAAGTACATGATTCATTCAAAAATAAAAATCTTTACAGCTGCCCATCAGAAGGGTCTAAAGCACTTATGAATGTTTTTAGTCTAATTTATTATTGACTTTTTACAAGTCACCATATTTGAAGATCTGTAGCACTCTGATTTTCACAAAATTTTTCATTCTGAATAATTTTTAAATGGTGATATATTAGAAAGGCAGTTTGCTTTAGAAAACTAAATTGCATTGAACATTGTATTCAAGAATTAAAAGTTTCTTACAGAGCAGTGTTTTCCAAAAGTTTTTAGCACTAGAATCTTCTTTAGATGAAATTTTATGTATAACCCCAATACATAAAGCCTGAAAACTCAATTTTATCAATATAAATGTATTTTAGGTTCACATTATGCTTATTCATTTTGGCTCATTACTAAGCATAATAAGATTCTGAATTAACACAAATGTGGAGTTATACATAGTTGATGAAACCAGCAGCCAATTTATAGCTGTGCCCTATTTTATATGTATACTTAATCAAGAAAATTTTGATTCACACAAATGTAAGCAAAAATAATACGTTTTAAACATACATCTCAGGAAATTTTTAAATTAGAGATAGCTAAAGTTATTCAAGATCTATACAAAGATAAATTATCCTGGTAGTGCAAGTTAATACATAAGCAGTCTCCAGTATGGTAAAGTAGGGTATGTAACACATCAGAATGTGCATTTTTATTAAGTTTTAAAATATGTAAGTATAAAAACTAAATTTGAATCAAACCCTTTAAACTCACCTCCAAGAAGCTACACTTTGGCCAGGAATGGGCTAAAAACCACTGGTTCACCATGTGACAGTTATGATGTTGGAGACTGGAAATCTTTCTTCCACATTAGAGTTCTTTACCTTAATTCCTTATTTTGAAAAATTGTAAGATTTTATGAAGGTTTGAATACCAAAGCACAGTTCTGCTTTCAAACATTAAAATTCAAACTTGAAAAAGCTGTTTAACCCATGTAAGATATCATTTAGTAAGATGTAAAAGATTTTTTAAATCTACACTTCAGTTTATACATCTTTATCATTATCAATACTATATAAGTTACTGTGAGCATTTTAGAGAATTCCATAAAGGTACTATGAGTGTGTCTGTATGTGTGTGTATATATAGCATTGTATTTAATCATAGACTAAATTTAATTTGATATAGAAATATTACTTTACATGTACATTAAGGTCATAATTTCTGCTGGACTCTTTTATATTTAATTAATGGGGATTATAGTCTTCCTTCATAAATGCATTTAAACCGGAAATTGAACACCAGTGTTTTTCTTTTTCTACTTATGGGGAATTGTCTGCTTCCCCCTTTAGAGAAAACAGTATTTTTATATTTTGTTAAAATATTAACTACTTTATGCCTACACACTATGCTGTAGATACTGATCATAATTCTTGGGTGTTCACAAACACTCCTAGTGCCTCTTTTTTTAGCCCGTTGAAAGTGTTGGTATTACTACTTTCACTACAGAGCCTTTGGCCCTCTAATAATGCTGAGGGGGGTGATCCTTCCTGTTTCTGTCTTCGGATCATTCTGGTAGGTCTTCTCCTCCACTGTCAGGTAAGCAATCAGGTCCATGACAGGGATTGGACATAGGAACAAATTAAGTGGGTACACACAGTGAGAAAGATACATACATTCTGTGGTAACAACTACTGTCAATAACATCTGATGTTACATGCACATTTTTATATATATAATTTTAAAAACTGAACTATGAGAAGCCATGGTATAAATGAATATTGTAGACATCATGGACTTGATATGATAGAAATCAATTGTCAGGTTGAGATAGTTGTTTTTAATCTGTCTAAATAGTTTATGCATTACTACAGTTAAAAATAATTTGTCTTCTATAGACTTAATTTTATTCCGGTTCAGTGTAATCTCTGTTAACAGAGTTCCAGCAAACTGATTGGTCAAGGTATTAACATAACTTCTACTTCCTTTGCTTAAAAAGATGTGGTTTTATGTAAGTTCTTGATTACTGATGATCATCCCAAATTTTGACAACAAAATCATATGTATAAATTTATTTCTTCCCTCTTGCTCATCATCTTTTGTAAAGGTCCATTGTAGATCTTTTCTGCTACCAAATAAAACTTTTCAAACAATTTGGTTTCAAGACCTTAAATAGACAATTTGGATACTAAGATTGTGAACTGATAAGGACATTTAAATTTGTATTTCCAATCCTTCCTTAGAGTCTTTGTCTGCATCAAAAACCCAATTCTGCCATTAACTGTGCTTCCCAGTCCCACCTCTGTATGTCACTCATTTTCTGCAATAAAGATCTCACTAAATCATGTTGAAACACAAGTCATGATCCTCTCTAACTAAATAGGAAAAGCTCCCCGGAAAAACTCTGTTGCCACATGCACATGCCCTGTTACTCCTCCAGCCAGCCAGTGCTGCCAGCATGTTATTGAGTAAAAGGCCAAATAAATAAGGGCCTGCATGCAACCTTTATCTTCAGAAACTAGGTTTTATATGTAAAATATAACTTGGGAAATGATTCTGTTTATTAACTGGCTGGGATTTTTCATTTCTGTGAGAGTTTCAAATGTCTCCAGTACTTTATAAAATCCCAACAATTGCTGTAAGTCAGCACTTTGGTCCATTCAGCCCACCCAGCCCACTTGCAACTCTGACTGTCACTGAATCATATTTGGGAAGTTTGGGTAGGGTGAGGCTTTCTTCTTCTTCATTTCTCATATGTCTGTCACCTTCTAAACCATGAGACTCCTGAGTATTTGCATGTAACTTCTTTGAGGAAGTTAACACCATCTCTGATATAGACACACTTTTTGAGTTGCAGTTTCTATTAGAATTTTTTGGAGACTAATTTGCCAATTCTTTGAATATTATTGAATGTTTAAAAAGCTGAGTCTGTAATGGGAGGCATTTTATTAACTATTGTGATTGGGTAACATGTCCCCTTAGATTCCTGATTTAAAATTATACAAAATAACTATTTTTGATAAAATAAAGGAACACCTACAGAAAATTAAGTTTCTAAGATGTTTCTATACTTCATTAGAAAAGATTTTATTACTGTTCCTTACAGTTATTGGTGGTGATTAACACTTAACGTGTCTCCTCTGATTTTGTGTTCCATGTGGTGCTTGGAACATTTGGAGTACTTTGTGCGGGGGACATACAGTGGTATAGGAAATTTAAAAATTAAAATCAAATAATACCCAAAAAAGCCCACTTTATCATATATGGTATTGTGATGGTTAATACTATGTGTCAACTTGGTGAGGCTATGGCACCCATGTGTTTGGTCAAACACTAGCCTAGATGTTGCTGTGAATATATTTTGTAGATGTGATTAACATTTACAATCAGTTGATTTCAAGTAAAGCAGATTCTCATCCATAATGTTGTTGAACCTCATTCAATCAGCTAAAGGCCTTAAGAGCAAAAGCCAAGGTTTCCAAAAGTAGTAATTCAGCCTCAAGATCATAACAAATTAATCCTGCCTGAGTTTCCATTCTGCTGGCCTACCTGCCTTATAGATTTTGAACTGAAGACTGCATCATCACCTCTTACCTGATCCAGTCTGCTGGCCTACCCTACCAATTTCAGACTTGCCAGTTCCTACAATCCTGGAGCCTTTCTTAAAACTAATTCTCTCTCTCTCTGTCTTGTGTGTGTGTGTCTGTGTGTGTGTGTATATCTTCAAACACACATATAAAACATATAGGTATATAAGAATATATAGATATCTTACAGATAGTGTATCTTATTGGTTCTGTTTTTCTGGAGAAACATGACTGATAAACATTGAATCATTAATCTGTGTGCCTCTCATATCAAGCAATGGTTTTGAAGTTTAATTTGCAATGTATTAGCAGTCTGCTCCAAAAGTTTCTTTTGAAGCCATTTACCGACAGCGAACCATGTTTCCACTTCTGGCCATAAC